GAGGAATCTGGTATATTCTAGACCTTGCTATTCATACACAGATCTCTGTGCTCATCTTACATACACTTATTCAACCTATAAAACAAACAGCATCAATAGCCATCAATACACAGCAAGTCCATTTACAAATAACAGATTAGGATTTCATCCCCTTGACCTTCCATACCTACTTAGGACAAGTTGTTCACATTACTTTCAATCAAGGATCATGGTGATTTATGTTGTCACCAATTTGTATTGCCAATTTTCAAAGTCTACATTTCTGTCTACTTGTTTATACAAAGCACAAATTGTTATGGTCTTTTTTTTTCATAATTTCATTCTGTCTCACAGTTAACTCTGGTTATTTATAGAGTAAAGCGACATTTAAAATTCACATCTTAGAACTCACAATTTGAATCATGCAAAACAACCAGCATAAATAATAGCATTTTATTTCTGTGTACTTTTGCAAGTAATTCAAGACAGCAGCTGCAGGAAGGTTAATTTAGTATTGTAAGCTTTACAGTTCTCTGACTTGATATTTATGCATTTCACATTTCAGTCTACTCTCCTTCTAACCCAAGACCCTCCCCATATGTGTTGTTTTCGATGCTGGAACATCACAATAACAGCAGAATATGCGTGCTTCTGACCCAACAGGAGGCTCACTCAAGTTGTGTGTGAGAAGCTCCTCCCAGCTAAATTTTTTTCTGTCTCAGATGCTGCAGACAACAGCTCCTTCAAGCTATGTTGCCATTTCAATGCATTTTACCTCAGCGTCAGGTATTTGGAGTGGGTGCACAACAGGATATCACAGCTCAGTTCTTTGCAAACCACCAAGTACTGTCATGTCTCTGGATTACACCACAAATTGGCTTATTTTACAAGTTCAGTTTTTTTAAAAAAATGCTTATTACCCACACTCTCACGACAACCTCAACGACCACAGCTTCTGTGTATAGACGGTAGAGGTTCCTCCATGAATGTAAGATGTTTTTCAAGAACAGAAACGTATAGTTTGGCTGAAAGTGTAACTGTATGTTCCTGAAACCACTGTATGTACAGAGTCTATAGTGATTGAATAGTCAGTGTGCATATTTTTTGAAGTTAAGCACCAAAAACATGACAACTATTTCTATGAAGTGGTCATCTAGAAGAAAATGTCTATATTTCTGAGAATAATTGGGCAATAATGTCTCGGCCTGGGACAATTGCTTTGGTCCTACTTTAGTGCTATGATGAAACCCCATTTAACTGGCTAAGATTTCCATTGAGAATTGCATGCTCTGGACTGAGTATTAAACAGAGGACAAAAATGTTCACCACTAATTTTTACTGCAGTAATAGTAAGCAAGTAAAGGATATTATGAAGATTATATGTTTCTCTAACTGGTGGAAAGAGTTGATACAAGAAAGAGCCACATGTAAAACTGCCTATACTAAACACATAAATGTATTTTACATGAGAAACTTTATGATTATAGTTTCAGAGATAATCCAAAATAAATAAAGATTAGTGATGTGTGCAAACAATGTCATCGTTTTGATGCTCCGAATTAAGAAAAATGGCTTACTATGGTGTGACATCCCTTGAATTTCTGCATTTGGTGCAATTTTCTGTTTAAGTATTGCAACTTCGGATATAAGATCCCAGAAGCTAGTTTCCACATATATCTAAATAATAATAAGCCACCTGTGGAAAAAAAATCACTTGCCTAAGTATTATAAATGGCAATTCTTTAATATTAGTAGAGAGCTAATTAGTATCTTTGCATTTATGATTTATATTCATAATGATAATGTCTTGCTGCATTTATTAAAATGGGAACAATGTTTGATGAATTATAACAATGATATTCCTAGACAGTAAACCTCAATTCAATGCTGAGCAGTATGTCTGCAAACTGATATATTGCAAAAGCTCATGTATCAGATGTGGTTAAGTTAGTAGCACTCTTCTGCTGAGTTAGAAGGTTGTGGCGTTCATGTCGAACATTAAAAGGAACATCTAGTGTTCTAGCAGAGTACTGGGTGAGTGTTTTCATAGAATCATAGAATCATAGAATCCCTACAGTGTGGAAACAGGCCCTTCGGCCCAACAAGTCCACACCGAACCTCGGAGCATCCTACCCAGATCCATCCCCCTATAACCCACCTAATCTACACCTCCCTGAACACTACGGGCAATTTAGCATGGCCAATCCACCTAACCTGCACATCTTTGGACTGTGGGAGGAAACCGGAGCACCTGGAGAAAACCCACGCAGACACGGCGAGAATGTGCATGATATAGAAGGTGCTGTCTTTCTGATGGGATGTTTAAATGAGATCCTTTCTTTGTACTGTTGTGAATTTGAGAAAGGTGTTCTATAAATGCAGCCCTTCATTCTCATTTGCTTTTAATTTAAAGGTGAAAATTTTGAGGAGTGCTGGGGTCTGTCCCACAAAAATCTGTGTGGTAAGTCTGAAGCACAAGGACTATTGAAATCTCAACATCTGAGTAATGTTAGAGCAGGAAATCATATAGGTTATTATCAGTAAATATGACAACACAATCAGCCTCAGCAGACAGAACTGCAGTTTTAATTCTTGGTCAAAAGATTGTTGTCTCTTTAGTCAGGTAACCTGAAGCTCCAGCTTTTGACAAAGTGGGTGCTGAGCCAATTTCGAGGACACAGAGATAGATTCAACTTCGATTAGCTGGGTGTCAGTTTAGAATAAATACTTGCAAATAATATCCAAACTGCAAGAGGTTGTTTCGCTCCAGTCTGCGGCGTCAGGACTAAAACTGGGAGGATTTAAGGCTCAACTTTCATTTAAATATGCTTGCAACCTATGGATATTTTTCTCTATTACCAGTTAAGCTTTGCATAATAGAAGATAGAATTCACTGTTTCATTAACATTTCATTTCTATTATTCGAAAACAATACAAAGAAATTGAACAAATGAACAGACTCATTTTCAGTTATGTTTCAATGACAGACAATACAAGAAAAGTACTAATAGTGAACAGTTATTGTATAGTTGTGGCTTTATTCTTGTTCTTTGCATTGCCCTATCCACAGAGATTTCCTTCAAGCTGTAAAGTTGATTTCTCCATCCCAGCTGCCAATGCCCTGTTAAACCATTGGTTTTAAGGTCTCCCCCTTCATGCTCCTTCCCCATCATGAAATGCAAAGCTCCTCTGTAAGTTACATATGAACAAAGAACATGAGGAGGCCATTGAGCCACACAAGCTCGCTCCACCATTCAATAAGATGATGGCTGACCTCAAATATGCATTCCCAACTAACCAGGACATTCCCCCAGTAACCAAGAATCTATCTACATCTGCCTTAAAAATATTCAAGGGACATACTTCCACTATCTTTTCAGGAAGAAAGTTCCAAAGACGCATAATCTTCTGAGGGAGAAAATAAAATCGTTCAGTCTCTATTTTAAATGACTGACCACTGATTTTTAAACAGTGACCCCTGTTAAGTTGAGGTGCTCTCTCTAGCGAATCAGTTAAGAATTGGTTAAATTCTGTCTCAGAATGAGTAAAGCATCAGTTTGATCTGTCAAATGCCCTGCACAGTCTAACAGCAAAGTCCATGAGTTCCTGCCTTGCTATTTATGTTTAATGAAGGGCAGAGTCTTAGCTCGAGTCAGCAGGAGGAGACATCCAACAGAGAGCAGGCGCTTCCCCACAGGATGTGAAAATTGGCAGGTGACGCATTCAGGCCACTCTTCCACACCTCTGAGCTGCTAGCTACGGAGCTTAATAGAGACTGAGAGAAGTGCGTACACTGGGGGAGGGAAGAGGGAGAAACAAACAGGGAACTGGGGACATTTTAAAAAGGCTGTTAAAATTGTGCAAGAAAAATAAACATTCACACTCCTAAATCCAGTGTCTATGTGAAAAGGGAATCCATCACTCAACTACTGAAAACACCAGACCATTTCATACAATTACCCGTTTTTAAAGGAACATGTATAATCGGACATTTTTGCTCATGTTCATTTAAAACTATTGCATCAGTGCCCTGAAATCCTTATCTCTGCATTTTTCATGAGCATCCCTGTCTAGTGTCTTTTTTTGTGCAGTCAATAACATGTAACATCTGTGCACTGACCTATGCTGGGAAGTGGACATAAAGCAGAGATTCACTTAAAAATGTTCTAAACAAGTTTTTAAACCCAAATGTACCTGCACGCTAAAGGCCTAATGTCAAAATAAGGCTAATAACTGATGGCAGATTGAACTCACTACTGTAATGAACATTTCTGCACAATCACCTCCCTGTGTGGATGGGAGTTAAAGAGTAGTATTAGCATCACTGCGCTGTATCACTGAACACAGGAGGGAAACGTGTTTGTGTCTTTAAAACCTGGAACATGCTCCTGCAAAATAAAATGTATGTGGTAGTTCCAGCTAATAAGCCATGCGCTGCTTATGTCAGTTTATTCTCTTTTATTGCCCAATGAATCAAAAATAATAAAAGAGTTCTGAACAGATCGGATGATCAATTCATTTTAGTGACCAACAACATTTTAGTGAGGATCTTAATGTAACTGCAGTGCAGTGCTGAAAAGATATCAACCTGTTATTGAGCTATTTTTTAAATGATCACTGGATTAGTTGAATTTGCTTAGATCAGGGAAGGGTTAATCCATTGGTGGGCATGAGCAAATTTCCTCTCTTAAATGCAACTACTTCTCCAAAATGAAATCTTCCTTGCAATAATTATAACCTAACCAAGAAATACCCGATTACTAGTAAGGTTGCCTGAAGTTCCAAGTCACCTCAATGAGAATTGCAAAAGCTCTATTCTCATACCTGCAATATGGAAGAAATGGTACATTCAAAAGGCGTTTAACATTTAAAGAGAAAGTTCAAGGGAAGCTTTAAGGTTATTTTCTCACTGCCCAACCACCTCCCCCCACCGAACCACACAACCACCCACGCCAGAGTAATTGTTGGGAACATTCGCTGTGGCTGAAACTGATTTTTAAAACAGGAGATTGACTACTTACTGTTCAGGCAGTTCTTCTTTCTTGTGCCATTTACCTTCCCAGCTCTATCGATCTTGAGGAAGTACTTTGTGGCCGAGTAGAGTCTCCGCCACCGCACATCGCCTTGCAGATGGTTGTAGCTGCGTGTGTGGCGCTCCAGGCTTGAAGAACAGTTTGTAGCATCCAGCGTTAGCGCATCTTCGGGCTCGCCGCGACAACTGGCAGAGGCTGAGCAGGCCAGGGAGAACAGAAGAAAGCAAGCGAAGTGGGGCAAGCGCGAGACACCGCTGGTCAGCATCCATTTCCACATTGTAGTAAAATTCCTGGAGTGGGATCTAGGAAAAGACGCATACTGAAGCAGCAATGAATTCACCTGGACAAAGCGAGAGTTCCACACACGGACTTCTCTTCACAACAATCTTTCTGTTAACGTCTCCGAATTGTCCCGAGGTTGTTGTATCCATGACCCAGTCACACCTGAAGCATTAGTCCAATTACCTTTAAGAATTCCTCAAAAACCACAGCAGAATTCAAATGGGCATGAAGTTCCCTCCTTCACTGGAGCTAGTTGAAATTTGTACAGGAAGGATGAAAATAAGCAAAAAAACACAAACAAACTTCAGTCTTGAGTTTCTCTGCACATCTAAATTTGCCTCATTAAAATGAGAGTCTTGAGAGACTGAAACATGTAGGAAGGAATGGTTGTGTTTTTATCAATGCCTCAGACACTACAAACTGCAGGCAGCTTGTCATCTGCTTACCATTCAACTGACAGCTGAGAAAGGGCTGGCCCTTTTCAGATAGGAGGATGTTTTTTTTGTCCTAAGCCAGTAGTTTGTCGCCTGATGAAATGTCATAGGAGGGTTGGGCATTCAGTTAAGCAACTTACTAGCTAAAGCTAACTGGGAGAAAGCTTGTAGTGGTTATAGTTAACAGCGTACCTTTGTGTTATTGACTTTAATGGCATCTTATAGCTTTTTTCCTTTTCTATGCCTGAAAAACACTTCTTAACGTTTCTAATCAGGGACTAAACAGTGAATAAAAATGCATCTCATCTTACTGCTAAACATTTGACAAAGGGCATGAACATTTAAAATAACTTAGAATTTAAGTTCGTGAATTTACCTATTGGGAGCTAGTGCATAAACATGAATGCATTCATCTGAAATCTCTCTGTCTCTGGTATTTTAAAAGTGTCGTTATCCCATTTATACTAAATAGACAAATGGGACTGCTAAAATGTGGAGGGAAAAATTCAGGCAAATGTGTTAATACTCATATGTTGATATTTCAGAGTGCAGATTCAGAAGCAAACAATTAGTTTCTCAGTATTGTGAACTTTTCCTGGAAACACAGATTTAAGAATAGTGGGTTGATGTCTGTTATTTTTTTCCTCTCTCTGTCATCCAAAGATCTCCAAAGGATTGAAGTTGCTTTAATAAGAGGCTGATTTTGGACAGCTCTCTAGGGAGTCTCAAGACAGTGCTTTGCTGTTGATGTGTGTGAGAGTCATTGCAAATCTATCAGTCCTGTTACACTTACTCAAAGAAAAAAAAGCAGCTGGCTTCTCGAAAAACCTTCACTCTACTTTTGTTGCCAGGAGCACAACCTAAAAGTGGAGGAACAAGTAAATTTTCTTTTCACCTGTGTCTTCCATTAAAATGATTTTTAATCTCGGCTTGACTGCTTTGTAAACTGGATCTCAACTGTATGTCACAGCTTGTTATTATGTTTTCTTTTTTATAACCTGGGGCTTTGATTTCTTTTGGTGGTGTGCCCGCTTTAAAATAAACAAATTAATGACAGTGTTAAAATAACACACATAAAGAATTTTGCATGAGCATGTTAACCACTGCGTTACCAGGAGAAGTTTAACCACTAAGTCTCAGAAAATATTACCTCTGTAATACAGGTGATTCATTAACTAATCTGAGTATTTAACTCTTTCATTGGGCTGTCATTTGGATCAACCAAATAAGAGCTTGAATCCCAGGGCTGACTGCGACTCAGGATAGTTCATTTCTGCTGGGAGAATATGGTCAGTTGGCATCGGAAACCCGAAATGAGCTGAACTGCCCATTCCAAGAAGGTTTCGTCAAGGCAAATAATGCCTTTTACTGGTCTGTCTAAAAGTGATATCAGAGAGCAGGGGATATTATACTGAACGTTGCTCACTTTGAGTATTTAACTTTGGTTAGTTCCCCTCCCCCACAGTTCCCATATAACCACTTAAGTTTTCTGTGATTGCTATCAGTATGTGGTGGGGAAAGCCTAGACCTTTTTTTTATGTTTTATAGTCCCTTTGACGCTGTGGCTTTTCAAGGGAAGACACACCCATCAAATAGCCTGGCTAAGAAGTGATGAACCTCATCAAACATATTGGTTGACAGGCTCAAGTGTCATCCACAGCTGGGGCTCAGACTTTCAGCCACACTAACATGAAGGGGCTTACTTAGCTATGCACTACTGGACAGCTCTACTGTCAGCTCTTGTATACTCAAAGGGACCAATGCCCTTTACTTCCAACCAATTATATCCACGTCACATTCACTTGCAATATCAAAGCCTTCATTCAGTTAGAAAAAGTCCACAAGCCTCCAGTTTGTCAATCAATTTTGTCGGATCCCAATGCATGAACAAAGTAAATTATCATTTTTAAAGTTTAAAATCTGTCCATTATAGTTTTGCACTTCGACTGAAGATGTCAGATTCTCCTAACTCCTACCTAATAAGTGGCTTGTGATCAATTTATTATTATCCAGAATTGTTTGCTGGTGGCTAGAGTATTACACCTGGATTGGGATTATTTATGGAGCACAGACATATATAGATTGAAACTGTAATGTATTAAAGTAGTTTTCAATTCTCTGTCTTAAATTGTTTAATGTTAGAGTTTATTCTCCAAACCCTCACAGTCTAGAAGTTACTAATCCATGCACTAATATTTTAATAGTTTTAAGCCTTCATCGTAATAACAGGTGGAAAACTGTTAACACAAATGTACTAATCATTCCTGACACATCACTCTAAGCTTATAGGTCAGAATTGGTTCCTAGGAACCAGATATTAAACACATGAGAGTTGCCTATGATTACTGTGTTTTAGTAATCTGGCTTCATTTAAGCAGCCTTCATACAGTCAGGATTGATGTATAGCACCATGCCTGTGTAAATGCAACTTGTTTATATATGTGACAACTTAATGTTCACTAAAGATTTATGTTTTAGCAGTAGGAGATAGAGAAGAAAATGTGAGTGTGTGTTTTCCCTGCTGAGATGTTACAAGCACAGCTATTTTCCAGAATGAACAAGCAGCAGGATCATTGTTGTGATTTGAATACCTGATGACAGTGTGTTACAAGAACATTACAGTTCTCATGCCATAGAGCACAGAAGCGTCATTTGAATGGGTTGATGTCTGAAGCAGATCCTGGGGTTGTGTTACAAGGCTTTAAACACAGAATGGGTCGTTGGGGGGCAAATTTCTGGGAGGCTTTAGGCCAGGACCGCTGTTTCACAGAAGCAAAATAAGACACTCAGGATTACTGTGCATTTCTGCACTCCACCATCAAGTCACAATCCACAAGTGGTCTCTATGAAGTTCTCCACTGGAGCATTTTTTGAGTATGAATATATAGAATTCATATTTTGTTAAAGAATATTAAAACTGAGAAGAAATGAGAAGAAGAGTGTGATACCTAATCTACAATTAGGAAGTTTTCATACTTCATAAATAATTATTGTAAGCCACAAATGAATACTGGGCAGAGTCTGCTGAATGGCACAGAATATTCTTCAAACTGTGTTAAGTTGTGCCACTTGTGAAGGTTCATATTGTGATCAAGTCCTGAATTTACGTTGTTTATGCTCTGAGCTTCTCCTATTTAGCACAGGCAGATCTCAAACTTTTGTCACTACAGTAAAACACTTACTTCCAAGAGTAAATCAAATCTGCTTTTTCTGGCCACCAAGCTTTGCTAATAAAAAAAAGAGTTTGTACCATCAAGTCTGTACAATGGCACTGAAATCTGAACATACCCAAGGCTGGAACATGATGTCAGTCCAAATGGTCTAGCACCCCTCCTGCCATTCGTTTACATGTATTGCCAATGGCCTTATAATTACATCAACAGAGGGAGAGTAGCCATATTTAAGTGGGTTTCTGTGGTGTTAGATGCAGTGCCACTCTGTTGTCTTTAGACACCCAAAGCCAGCACTGTCTTTGGTGGGCAATAACAAATACCATTTGAGACATTTAAATTGTTGTAGTAATTGTAACAATGTCAGCCAGGTGGACCTCATAGAATATGAGTTCCCTGATTCGGGCTGTTAATCTGGTCCAATCAAGGAGCCCTCCCTGACATAAAAAGATTAAGTGTAGGGATACTGCTACTCAGGTGCCTGACTCTGTATGAGATAGTACTATAGTCAAGGACTGTCCATATGTAAATAAAGGGTGACTTGGTGATGGGATAATGGCCTCTCTAGAGTTATTCTAGTTGTAATTGTTAGTTCAATGTTGTAACATTTCTGCAGAAGTTCTTGAGCACTGTAAACTGCTTTCTCCAAACTCCTAATTTGAATTGTTATAGTGACAACTGATTAAGGTAAGATCAACATAACTTTAATAATAACATTTTTATCAGGTAATTTAATAACATTACATACAATATATTGCACAGAAGTAAACCATTTGGCCAACTGGTCAATGTTTTCTTTTTCCTCACTCAGGGGATATAAACATTGCAAATGAAACCAGCATTTATTGAGAAGATGTTGCTGATCCATCTTCTTGAACCACTGCAGTCCATGTGATAAAATTACGTCTACACTGCTGTTAGGGACAGCGTTCCAGTTTTTTGACTGAAGCATGTGACAATAGTAAATCAATAAACAATAATTAGTGAAATCAAATCATAACTTCCCTACTTTTGCATTCAGTTCACCTCACAATAAAATATAACATTCTATTAGCTTTCCTGATTACTCGCTTTATCTTCGCACTAACTTTCTGTGATTTATGTACTGGGACACCCAGATCTCTCTGCATCTCAGAGCTCTGCACCTCCTCACCATTTAGCTCAATATACTTTTTCCTTTTATTTTATTGTATCTCGTTGGTGGTTGCCCCAAGTTTTGTGCATTACATGGAACTGAACCTTGGAATGTGCCAATCTCTAAATCTTGGTCAAAGACAATTCCTTACGTTGCAAGACCACTGGATTTTGGACAGATCAAAGAGTGTCTTTAACCAAGCTGATGGTCCTCCAGCTGCAGCTGACATTTGTCTTGAAGTATGTGTTTGTGAACAGTCCACAGAGCACGGAATCTTTCATCATGGAGCTGCTTAGCATGAACATTGAGCCATGAACACTACATCTCTCTCCAGACCATCTTTGCCAAGGCACATTCCACAAGGATGTGGACAACAGTCTCTTCCCTCAAAGGCAACATGTAGAAGGGGTGTTGAGACACCAGCCAAGCTACATCTTGGTGTTTGTTTGTACATCCTGGCAATGAGACATTCTGCAGGCATGAATTTGGCAGCACACTCAGGGAACCATTCAAGAGGTTCTGCTATCTCCTTTATACAGGACCTTGATGATGTCATGTGTGTCATTGACCTGTGGTAAAGGTTTGTTTCTGTATTGAGTTCCCTAAGAGGGGCA